ACACAGAGCACGAGAGCATCGTAGTCGTAGACGCCGTTTCAATTTCAGTTGTAGCACATGCAGTCGTGGTACTAACAATTACAGAAAAGGAACACTCGCAGTGGTTCCACCTGATCTGCAACCTTAAATAGTAGCAGTAACGGTAGCAGTTGCGGTTGTGGTCGCACTCATCGTCGTCGTCCCCGCCGTCGTCGCCGCTGTTGTAGTCGTGCGGTAGTGGTGATCGGTTGCAGTAGTCGTAGCAGCAGTCGTGAGGTCAGTAGCACGTGTCAGGAGCGCTGGCTGCATGTGGTGGCAGTGAAGAGCTTCGCATGTGTTGCCTTCAGCTGCTGGCCGAGGACCTCCAGACTGTAGTTAGATAAGTACAAATGATTAAATAGTCTAGGCATACATGTATATGTATATGCGTGTATATATATATATGTACATACATACATACATACATACATGCATGCATGCATACATACATACATACATACATACATACATACATACATACATTTACAACTGTACATATATCCATATACATAAATACATATGTATATATACGATATGATGTGTATATATACATACACATATGTATATATATATATATGTATGTATATATATATATATATGTAGGAGCTTCCACGCAAGCCTACAGGAAGGGTTGCTATCGCTCGCAGAGCAGACTGCCGGCAACTGGCCCGGGCCCTTGTGACCAAGTGCCCTGGTGATACATTCGCGAGGCTCACTGTTGGAGGCTTTCAAGGTGCAGCCTTTGAGGAACAGTCAGGGTTTAGTCGTGCGTCCGAGAGCACCGGATCTTCCAGCGGACGCCACAAGCCTGCATTCGCCGAAAGAGCTTCAAAGACTCAAACAGATGATAGGTGGCTGCCCTTCCACCCCACGGAAGAGCATCGGAAGCTGCAGGCCCCGACGTAAAAAGTGTTCATACTTGGGGCAAGAAAGACGGACTCCCATCAGGCGCAGCGTGCAAAAGGCTTCTTTCGGCTCCCCTGTGGTGTCCGCATCACCTTCGTGTCATCCACGGCAGCAGCTCAGCTACTGGCAAGCAAGAAGAGCAAGTAAGTCCTCGCAGGGAGCCGCCGTTGGCATATGCGCCAATGCCCCCCCTATAGCCACTGGTAGGGCGACAGCGGCACTCGCTCGCAGGGCAGCTTTTGCTCGTCTCCGTGGCCTGAAGCGTGTGGGCCTGGACGTGGAGGGCAGCCAGGAGGCGCAGCCTTAAAGCTGGAAAGCACCGTCCCCCCAATCCCGTCCTGAGGCAGCACTGGTGCAACTTGCTGCGGAGGAGGACAGTGACTTGCTCGACTGCTGCATGCAGTGATGGGTGCTTGCAGTTGAACCAGGAGGTCTTTGTGTTTGACACACTCGCGCTCCGAGACGATACAACAGCTGCTGAGACCTGACTTAACAAGGACCACCCTCACACCCGAGTTACACATGCCCACGTTCCGGCGGCAAGAGAGTGTGAATTTGCAAACAGCCCCCGTATTCGTATCCAGCGACACTCACCCGGTTCTGTTTGAGCTGTTTGAACCGTTTTGCATCAGGAAGCCTATGCAGACTTCCTCAAGCAAGACGGGCTTCAGAGTCTCAGCTCTGTTATCAGTTTGTTTGCATCTTCGGGTAAGGAAGGACTCCGCTTCGTCCGTTGCGGCTCCCTGTTCCTGTCCTCTGTGCGTTGTAGCTCATTTAATTTTGCTCTGCTTCTCTCTCTTCTGCTGTCTTTCTCGCTCTCGCTCTCAAACCGCAATGTGCACGGACTGATCGAAGATAATTTCGCCTTCAACTACCCATCACTGTAATCGCGAGTTATTATGCTCGCATTGGCAATGACATCCGAATCTTTCGGCATCTGCATGGGTGTGGCCGCCTGTAACTCTCTGACATCTGCTGCGTGCTTCAGCATGATTTTTCAAGAATTGCATGCCATTCGTGATGAACTGTTCGCTACTGGCGGGCGAATTTGCTCATGGCACCTTGCGAGCTCGGCGAATTCCGAGATTCGCGTTCATGGAGTGAAAGACGTGTGACTCACATAGACCATCTCACACCTTCTCAACTCGCTGATGACCCTGCAGATACATCAGATAAGTGTGGCACGAACGTAGCATGCCGCATCCAGTTGCTGAAGGATTTGCCCTAGTCACTAGTCGATCTTCCCCTTCTTCTGCTTGTCAGCCGTGCAGTCACCGCTTCGGCCGTTGTCCTCTTCTTTGTTCTTTGGTGAGGAGCATTGCAATGTGACGGGTGCATGGGATTGGGTCGGCATGTGTTATCCAGTTATCCAGGTTGTTAAAGTAAAACTCGTCTGGAAGACTTGCGGAAAAGACTCAGTCAACTCCAGTGGCCGCTTGGGGCCTTCAACTCGAAAGCGGCTGTGATGCCGGACCCTGCCCATGTGCGAGACGCCTTGAAGCGGCTCCCCATGACGAATCCCTTTCCTGCGACACGGGTGAGGATCCTTGGCTTCGGAGGCCGACATGATCTTCGAGCCTAGGCCGAGTCTGGTCCGGCTCAGGGTGTTTTTTGGGCATCAGGATTTGGCCTTTGTCCAAGCTGCTTGTGCAGTGCTCTCTTCGAACGTTGGGGTTGTGACTCTTCTTCAAAAGAGTGAGGAATGGTGGCCAAAGTGCCGGCGTTTCGAATGGCTGCAGACCTCCAGAGCCTTGTCCGCTCCAAGAAGCTGTCAGGTTGGTTTCCGACAGATCGGAAGTTTGAGATTTTTAAAGTTTCGGGCTCTCGAGAATCTCAGCACTGCAGCCTGTGCTCGAGCCAAGACTGAAAGGCCCCAATTCCGGGACGTCCAGCGCGGTCATGGGCCCAAGAAGAAGCTGCCTGGGCTCTCGAAGCTGGTGCGGGGCACGGCGGAGGGCCGGTTGCCCACGGCATTCCTGCTGTTCTGTTTTGAGAGGCCCAGAAGATCTTGGGAAAGCCCTTGGACAAGTCCCTTCAAGTCTCCGACTGGTCGGCGAGGCCTGGTCCCTGAAGTCACCTTTCTCATCCATTATGCAAGTACACATAAACCACAACGGTCACTCTGACCACAGCCCTGTGCGCCATGGCCCAGTATGGCCCAGTCCTTTGTGAGGTTGAGGGCGCTCCAGGAAAGGATCTCGCGCCTCATTGCAGCTTGACACACACCTCGCCCCTCGCCCCCGGGCTTGAGTGTTCGCGTCGCACTGAACTCCAGGCCTGCTACGTAGAACCAAAGTAGCTGCTCTGACCTCCAAAGGCAGGAGGAACCGCACCACCCCCCCCCCTCCCTGAGAGCAGTTCAGGGCCTGGGCCGGTAGCTCGAGCCATGAGCGATGAGCCAGCTTCGCGACAGGCCTCTCACAGCAGCGCAGCTCGAGTATGCGGCGCTGGATGCTTGGGTTTTGTTTCTTGGCCTTCATGCTTTAGGTCAGACTATTCAGAATGTTCAGATGTTCTCAGGCCCGTGTGCCGAGCGCGCACAGAGGCTCAAGATCTTGAGTTGTATGCTTGATCCCTTGCCAACTCCTCTTTGGGAGAGGCTTTTTCTCCAAGGCGCAATCAAGAAATGACAGAAGAACACGAGCAAGGCCAAAATAGCTTCGGCGCATACCAGCGCATTGCAGCAAGGCAGAGCTTTGAAAACCAACAGAGACAGAGAGAGGGAGGTTCCCTCACTTCTTTGCCTGTGGTGAGAGAGCGGGAGGGTGAGAAGGGGAAGAAGGAGAATGGTAAGAGAGAGAGAGAGAGAGAGAGAGCCTCCCATGCCCTGGCGAAGAAGAAGAAGAGAGAGAGAGGAAGAAGACATGCAAGACTTCTCGTTGTGTACTTTCTGGCTGTAGCCTGGCTGTAGCGTGGCATAGCTTTTGTATCGGTTTTCACCTTGAAATCCCCGGGGCGGGGCCTTGGGCCCGAGGGGCCTATGGGAGAGAGTCGGCAGAGGAGACAAAAGATCGAGATGGCAGCCATGAGAACCTTCCCTTCAAGTCTGCACACAAGATAGAAAAGAAAAACGCATTCATGCAGCAGAGTAGTATGTGCGTGTAAGATGCATTCAAAAGGGCATCAGGGCTGACGAGGGTGGGGACACCCATGCACTGGAAGTAAGCCTAATCAGCTCTACTGGAACCGCTGCGAGTATGATGACTACGACTACAATTTTCTCTTCTCGTACGGTTGTAGTGGCTATCCAACAAATTCGTCGGGGTACAGAAAAAAGTGCTCGTGATTGGCTGTCAAGTCTCCCAGGCACATGAGACTCGACTGACACTTTCGCTAGGTTTCCACATTGTCCCGATCGCAAAAGCACTGGTACTTTGCTGTCAAAGTGAGGGATCGGCTGCCTCAAACGGCCATAGGATTTGCGATGAAAGCATACAACCCGGCATGCTGGCGAGCGGTGCGTCCGCTCAGTCATGGCATTCTCGAGAAGGTTTCAATCACACCGGCGGGCGCAAGTGCGGAATTCTGAGTAGAAGGCTGTGCATGGCCTAAGTGCGCAATTTTTTTAGACAACTCTTAGTCGTTGAAGACGATCACGGCTGACGATCACGGTAATTTTGGGTTTGCCCGGGGTCCTCCAATTCGGGTCTGGCACAAATTGTGCGGACAATCAGGCAAAACTTGGCGTGCATGTTGCGAGCGTGACCTCAAGTTCTCGCATGCAAGCACTCCACGGAGGTTGAGAAGACTTTAACAAGCTGCTGCTGTGTTTTTGAAAAGAGCCGACACACAAACCCCGGTGCGCAGAAGACGGCCGAGCGAAAGGGATCTTTGTCTGTTCTGCAGAGATCTGGATCAGGGGTGCGTATTGACTTGACACTCCCTGTACTAGTGCGGCCTGCCCTAGGCTGAGAATCATGGACAAGGTCGAGACAAACAGCACTGAGACAGCAGCGGCTCAAGCGGACAAAAAGAAAACTATAGCCAGCCAGGCATTTGTAAGCATGGCACCTGCCCTTCGTGTGTTTCGTGGCTAACTGGGACAAGGAGGGTAGGATGGTAGCGCTGAAATGAAGGACCTGAAGCTTGACAAGATTCAGCAGTTTGTCCTGGACGAGTGCGACAAGTGCCTCGACAAAGTGGACATGCGAAAGGAGAAGCGAAGAAGCTGAGCTCAGCTCTCCGCCTCTTTTTTTGGCCTCTCCGCCTCGGTGAGAGGACGTGCAGCAGATCTTCATGGAGACGCCGAAGAAGAAGCAGGCCAGGCCAGTCAGCGTAACGCCTGTACTGTGGGGGTTTCGGCGCCGCTCAGTGGGAGGTGCTAGGGGCTATCTAGGGACTCTCTGCTCTCCCTACTCTGTGAGGTCATGATGTTCAGCGCGACGATGTCTGCGGAGACCCGAGCACTCTGCAAAAAGTTCATGCAGGCCAGGCGCCTGCCATGGGGCATGGAGCAATGGGACTCGGTCCAAGTGGGCCCCTTCGAACCCTGGCCTTTCATTCTCAGCGACGGAATTCCAAGCAAGACGCAGGATCCGCACGAGATCCGGGTTGACGAGGAGTCGAAGCTTACTCTGCACGGTCTCCTCCAGTACTATGTGAAGCTCACTGAGAAGGAGACAATGGTTGCGGTTGCACCTCGTGGTTGGTTCCGACACTGTTCCTGAGCCTTCCGTTGGGGATTCCTTGGACATGTTTGCCTTGTGACAAAACGTCGTGTCTTGTTCTCGTAGACCACAGCCGGATGGCTTTGTGCAGGAGAAGAACCGAAAGCTGAACGACCTTCTCGATGCTCTGGAGTTCAACCAGGCTGCAGCATCTCAAGCTTTGCCACCCAGAAACGCAGAAACCAAGAAGCATGCCACTCATCCTTACCTCGCGGGATGACAAATGGGTTCGCTGTCTCTCGAGTTGTCGGTAAGGCTTCTTTGCTTGCAACAAGCCCAACCGGAGCACGAAGACCAACGCACCGATGCGCGAACACACCAATCTCCACAAAGACACCAGTACACCAGCACAACGAATCACCAATGTATCAACCCACCATGCACAAACCTGCCAACCAAATGCAGGTCGTTATCTTCGTCAAGTCTGTGCAGCGGGCCATCGCGCTGGACAAGCTGCTTGTGACCTGGCCAGAAAGGGATCTGGTGCAGTGACGAGCAACACCGAGCAATTTGTTCTGGTGGATGGTGCGATCTCGGCAGTCTAAGTTTAACACGGCTTGTTCGGGCTGTCTTGTGCCCAATAGAGCTTAACCATGAAATGCCAGGGCTCTTTTCTTAACGCCAAGCCTGGCACTATGAGGGCTTTGGAACAATGAGGCTTTATAGAGCACAAGAAGGTGCATGCCATTGCCCTTGCGTGCGTCTGCAACTTTGCTTCCGCTTTTGCAAGCCTTACTGGTTTGGAGGGGGGTGTACATTGGGGGGCCATCAGCCACCCATGGTAACGAAGCCGTAGCAAGCAATATGAAGCCCCCATAGCCATTACTCAATTGTACGGCCCATCTCTTACCTGCGACATACCGGCATAGCAGAGGCTTAATGCCAGATGTGTCCCTGCTTTTCTGAGCTAGAACGTGTGCACGCCGTGGCCGAGGTCGAATGCAACTTTCCTTCTATTGCCATCCACTCGGGCCTTCAACAGGAAGACACCTGGCTCGAAAGGTGTGCGGCGTCTTCTCAGCAGGTCGAATCTCAGATGTTCGCAGTCTGTACCGGACTGAGGACCGCATTGCTCGGTATAAGCAGTTCAAAGAGTTTCAGAAGCGGATCATGGTGCCCTGAGCCGCACAGTTGGGAGAGCGCATGCTTTGGATCTGATCCCTTTGTCCAGGTATCCACGGATCTCTTCGGGCGTGGCATCGACATCGAGCGAGTGAACATTGTTATCAACTATGACATGCCGGACGAGAGCAACTCGACCAGACTGGCGACAAACCCCTTCCATCTGCATCGAAGAAACAGACCCTTCCGGCATTGCGGCACCATCACTTCACGTGTCTGCTTGTGCAACCTTTTTTTCGCTTCATATTGCAGAGTGTTTACTTGATTGACTAGACTTGTTCTCGGTTTCTTGCCGTGAAGCCGCTTGGAAGGTGACTCCTACCTCCATCGTGTCGGTCGTGCCGGACGCTTCGGCACCAAGGCGCGGCACGGTACTGTTGACCTTCAACCTTTCTTCTAGGCCTTGTCGATTTTTGTGGGCTTCAAGCTTTCCTGGCATCGGTTCTTTGTTGATGTTTTGGGTTTCGAAAGGAATGTCAGTTGCTGGCAGGGTCTCGCGATCACCTTCGTGGCGACGGACGAGGATCAAGAGGTGAAGATCAGCTTTGGCTTTGCACTTTTCTGCTTGCAGCTTTGTTGTTTGCCTCACCTGCCTTCCGTCTCCATGTCTCTTCTGTCTCTTTCGGGTTGGCAAGGGAGGGAGGCTCTCTCTGCTGGGTTCCCCCTCCTGGTCAGGTCCTGAAGAAGGTGCAGGAAAGATTCGAGGCGGGATGGCGTGGTATGAGCAGAGCTTCAGGACTCTGGACGGGACCGGTGGCAAGCATGATGATGATGCCATCTAGACCACGTTCCATCTTTATGTTCGCCTTGTCCAAAATATTCCAACTTGGTACTCTACTTCTAATCGTTTGCCAAGTCATGCCGAGTCCTTTCCCTCTTGCTTTGACCGCTAAGGTTGCTCAGGCTTTGAAGCAGTTTTGGGAGAGAGCAAGAGCAGAGCCAAGAATTCGACTTTCGGGCCTTCTCCGACATATCAGATGAAGAGGGGGTGCTGGAATGCTTTCTCGCAAGCTACCCTCGGACTGGATTTTCAAGATCAAGGATCCACACAGAGGGTAGGGTCGCCGGCCACTTTGTGAAAGAACTGCCAGAGTACCATCGCTGTGCAAGGCTGCATTTGTCCGCTCATTGCTGCAAGATCTACTTCCGGGCTCGCCTTTTCTGGATGTCGAATGATGTCGACCCCCAAGTCTGCACGCCATGAAGGGCCCCAGGGACCACAAAGTGGTAATGTTCGAAAACCAAGCAGAGAAAGCAGAGAACACCGAATCGATACCATGGCATCACGACGAAAGGAAGCCGTCAGAGGTGCGTCGCGACTGCCCAATCCCCCCGATGCAGATTCGAATGCCGAGTCGTGGAGTCAGTCGACGGATTTACCATAGGCATGCTCCTTCTCACCTACATGCTTGTCGTGGTATCGATGGCAACAGGAGGACGCAAGAAACAGAAACGCATCGTGCAAGTCGCAGATCGCCTGCACCAAAGCCTCGAAACTGCCTCGATCCTGGAGTCCAGAACAGAGCTGCCGATTGCAACTGAGAAAAGATGCTCATGGCGGTGTTTCAGCGTGGCACAATGGGGCGCTAAGGCCTTGGCTCATAATCAGCAGGGAAAGTTCCGCTGGAAAGTTGGGACACAACCTCCCAGATGCAGACAGACTTTCAGCTGCCAGTCGTTTGCTGACCATGTCGACATGCTCGTATTGCTACGTGACGAGATGTGGTGGGCCTTGGGTATTGGAATGAGGCTTCGAGAACGCACCAGCAAACACAGAGAAGGAGGAAGTGTCTTCTTCGTACCAAGGGTTCAGGGCTGTGTGCAACAGGTACTAAGCAGATCGGACAGACTTAAGCCTCCTTTCTCGAGCCAAGATTTCTGAAGCTAGTAGTACATGCACCGCGATTCCACACAAATGTTCCAGTCGGGTAGTTGGCTTAGGCGATGCATTAGTTTTTCCTCCGTATGAAAGCCTTTTTGTAGCCATCGTGCCTGTCTAAGCCCCCAGAAGCCTCAAGCGCTGGTCCTGCGTGGGCAGCAGCTTGCAGGTGCACTATATGATCGCACATTAGCCTACAGCTCCTGAACGAAACTTGAGCAGTGGAGTCCAACATTGTCGAGGATGCGGACACAGATTCGCTCTCTTCAGCCACCATTGGCCGGTAGAGACACAATTTCGGGGCGACATTCACCTGCATGCAAGTTCCATGAAGGAAGGCGTCGGTAGGTTTTGGCGTGCACCGTGGCGCGCCCAAAACCTGTTAATACCTGCACAACACAGCGAGCATCACGGCGACAGCGATGATTTTTGCATATCTCTGCAGTGTCCAGTAAGGGCACCGTGACTCCCGTGTCACGAGAGAAGTTGACATCGACAGAGGTGTTACTGGCCACGACAAGAGGGATTCACGTGCTTTGACACGGCTGTGTGTGCACGGAGTCGCACAGTGAGTTCTTCCCATACTTCGCAGCCTCCGTGTGCTGCTGTGTGTCCTGGGATTCGGCTGGCTTGGCGAACGACGTTTGCCTTGCATCGGGGCCACCAGGGCTAGGACGCGGACGTGCGACCGAGAACGGGGGGCTCACGTAGGCAATCCCTTGGATGAACTCGGCATGCAGGAATCCTCCACGGAATCAGCCCAAAGCACAAGGCCAAAAAGACTTTCCCACCATGTGCGAGGTGAATATTGGAGAGATGCCGGCATCGATCGACACCACCTCCTACCTCAATGCCTGATCTGTCTCTGAGATGCTCTGAGCGTCCTGCTTCATGAAGCTGCGAAAGGCTTGCAGCACAGCTTAACCTGAAGTTCAAATCGGACTGCGAATTGTAATCGAGGCTAGTGGATCAAAGCTCAGTGGAGGAAAAGACTTACCAGAAGCCAGGTTTGCACTGCAAGCCACAAGACTTCTGCAGACGAGTCTGTACATCTACGACACAGCGTTGTGAATTTCTCCTCACTGGCCTGAGCTTGGTAAGCACCAACAGGGATGGTGGGGGTGGTGGAGTAGAGGGAGGAGTAGTAGTAGTAGTAGTAGTAGTAGCAGCAGCAGCAGCAGCAGCAGCAGCAGCAGCAGTAGCAGTAGCCGTAGTAGAGCAGTAGAGCAGTAGCAGTAGTAGCAGTAGCAGCAGCAGGAGGAGCAGGAGCAGTAGCAGAAGCAGTGGCAGTGGCAGTGCTGTGTTCCTACAATCAGGACTTTGCGAATTTCTTTGACAACCTGTACTCTGAGTAGGACGCTTCGTGCTTGCTGTTCATCCAACAAGGCTTAATGCTTGCGGGCTCTACACACGACTTTAGGGGACCGTGTCACCGAAAGCTTGGTTTACAGCTGGTCGGCTAGACCAGAGAGGAGGAGTCATGGCCTTCACGGACTTCCGATGCATCCGCAGCAGGGTAGTTCTCAAGCTGACTCCAGCTTGGCAAGCCGCGCCCGATATGCTCTGCAAGTGTTCATGCTATTTGCTGACCGTAACAGCCTTAGAAGGTCCTGGACAGTCGGCTGTTTGGGAGTAGGTTTGTACGATGAGGCGGAGAGGTGGCTGTTTAGGAATAGGTTTGTGTGATGAGGCAGCTAGGTGATCGGCCAAGAGACGTGAGTTGAGATGCTACAGCTGCTACGGTTGCATGTCCTGCAATCAGAAAGCGGTGCTTTTCACACAGAAGTTATGAAGAGCATTCCAACCTGAGGCGCAGGTTGGGTGCAGCGTCAAACTTGCAGCTCAGATCCTCTTGTGGCAACCAAAAGCCAGTCGTACACTTGTACACGCCTTATCGTGGTTCTTGAACTCTCGATGTCAATCCACTATGTGAGGTGCCAGTTCTTAGTGCAGAAGCGGCTTGTAACAAGCACAAAACCCCCAACCTGATGCGAACAACAGGACCTGCCCAGACTGTGGCTCAATCGTGCTGGGTTGCAGTGCCAGGGCACAGCATCCGCCGGACAGACAGGTAGTGGAGCAAACCTGGATCTATGCTGGGCGAAAGGTTTTGGTCAACTCTAAACTGCACCAGTACCTCCGAGTGCTGTGCCCAGCTTAGAGACACGACCGGATCCGCGCTAGCAAAACAGGGGAAGCGCATCTCCACCATCATCAGGCAGAATTCCCGGTCACCTTCACCTTGTCCCTCCTCGTCTTCGTCGTCACTGTCGAGGTGGCAGTCGTCGTCATCATCATCGTCATCATCGTCACCACCATCATCATCACCACCATGTCCCTGAGGGTCTGGAAATGAACCTTGGTTGAAACGTGGTGTGTGACCGAGGCCTTCTCGACTGCCTTCGCATCGCAGGCTCGTCGGCTTTACTCCCTTTCAGCCTGTAGTGACGGGATCCGACTGGCCTCCGGGTCTGGGTCGGGAGCACGGCAGCAAGACGGCTACAGGAAAGCAATGGAAGCCAAGCATCAAGACGCGCCACATGTAAATTACACAACTCCTCAGAGGAGCGGCCCAAGGCCCAAAAAAAAAGACACCGAAACCTTAGGACGATTCGGACCCCCTTTTTTTAGGGGCAGAAGCGAGGGAAGCCACCGGAAGGTTGAGTGAACCTCAAGCCCTGAAACGGCCTGCTTGCAGGCCCCTAGACGTGTTTCGCAGACCCTAAATCCAAAGAGCAGCGTTCTGGACTCGCTGTGCTGGTAGTTACCACGTCAAGTGTCGCACTCGTCCCTCTGCTAGGAGCTGCAGTAAAGGGAGTAGACTGACCGGCAAGTCTTTGTCAAGAGTAGGTTCCTGCTTGCTGTCACGTGCTGGAACGATGCTCCGAGGTAACTGCCCAGTCAGAGGTTATGTAGGATTAATGTTACTAGTAGCTGCCTCGAGATCATTGGAGGTTCAGAACCTCAACTCGCTTGGAGCTATGTCGCAGCAGCAGCAGCAGGCACGAGCCACGCCAAATGACATGGTAGCAGATTTTGCCAGTAAACCAGCATCGTTATGTGTACGAAGCAGCTTGCATTGAATTCTGAACAGCGTGCCGGCACAGTGACATCTTGTTGTTCAGGCTCAGTAGCAGGTTGTAAAAACAAGCTGTTTGCGTGGGGAGACCTGTTGAACCTGGGCAGGAAGCAAGAAAGAGCACGCTTCATGACTCCCAAGGTATTTTGCGTAGCTTCTCATGCACACTGTGCTGGCGAGCTGCAGGCATCCTGGTCAGGGCAAGTGCAGCAGTGGGAGAAGCCCTGCAGCAACATGGCTTAGAAGTGAAATTGCCACCTGTCCATCTTAATGTCGGAACCGCAGGGAGCACCTACCGTACGCAGAGTCAATCCTTCTGGACGGAGCAGTAGGACCATAAGTGTTACATGTGTTACCAAACTGTTGGGGGAAAGATTCAAATCTGTATCTACCCATCTCTATGGATACAGATGTGGACATCAACAGGTGTGTGTTTGCATGTGGGACATCTGCGGATTTGTTTTTGAATTTGCAGATACACATGCATATGTTCGTTAAGAACTTTCGCATATACTATTGTGTTCCACACACATGATGCAGACGCAGTCTCAACTTCCCAAGCTCCTTGCCGTTTCACCGAGGCTTCATCGATGGCAAGGCCTTGTCCTCTCTCAGGGGTCAGGGTTCGTGAAGTAAATCTGATGAGTTGGGCAATTTCGCGTAGACCTTGGCCCGCAAGGCTTGCTTGGCTTCCCCAGTGCTCATGCCGCTTCTCCGGTTATGAATAGACGATGCTAGAAGTTTGATCTGAAACCGTATCTGAAACGTGTTGTCAAGAGCAGATGCGCGGAGCCTTGCGAAGGTCTTGGGCACCACTCCCACAACCGGGACTCTGTCCGGCCCTGTGCTTGTTCTGCCACGGAAGGGAAGCCTATAACCGGATGCACAAACTTGGACAGAAGGTTGTAAGTTGTTGGATGTGATTCTTTTGCTGCCAACTTAACTTGTCCCATCTTTATAGGTTTCGCCAATCCATCCACGGTCATGCTCAACCCACCCGAGTTTTCACCAAGGGTGTCAGCATGCTTTTGGTGTCCCGAATCAGAGTTACACGTGAGCATAGTCGGAAGAGATGCCGGGATCCGGACTGAAGCCGGATCTTCGAATTCGTTGTGAGACTTTCCGCAACATGAAGAATGCTTCGTAAGCAGTAGAGTAGAATGAACGCGAACACAAGCAGAGCTACTACATCTGACTTTTACGGCTCATGCCGATGGAAGCCACGTTTTCCGGATCCATGATTACCACAGCTTGCCATTCGGTTATGACTCTTGGTACAACGGTTGGCAAACAGAACTAGTCACCAGTCGTTGGTACTGGTACTAAAATCCGAGCCAACAGAAGGACAGGGTGGGGGGGGAGAGGGGACTTGGGAAGGTCGGAAATGCGCTCGCAACTGCCTTGCAAGGTCCGGCTCTGTGGGAAGAGAGCTATGAATTCTGATTGGCTACAAGAGCCGACCCTTCTCTCTCAGACTCTCTGCCCCCCAAAGAGGCTGGCAGCTTTCAACAGCTCGTGAACCCGAGGGCCGAATCGAATGCTTGAACTTACATTTACATGGTTTTTGATGGATGTTAGCAGATGCTGGGATCCGGTAGAGGAAATGGCTGGAGTTTAACTGCAACGCGGAAGGCTCTTTGATCGGTGGAATGAGACATCCACAGGCCCACGCAATCGATCTGTCCACGAATAGAGCCCCTTGAAGTGTGCAGTATTTTGAGATTTCAGTCGTGGGGCTGTGGCTTGTTGGGTTCGAGAGCAGGTGAGTTGCCAATATCTGCCGCTGTTTCCAGGACCTCGGCGCACCTGCTAGAATGTTTGATTGTTTGTTTAGGGTGTAGGTGGTACTTGCGACTCTCTGCGGTTCAGCCTTCAGCATTTCTTGACGGACATTCCTCAAAGCGCTTGAGATGCACCTGGTCGAGCAGACGGCATTGACCTGACATTGACCTGTGTTGCGGATTGGACCATGAATCCGTCTGCTGCCTGCAGTATGCTTGTCGTGCAGCTGATCCTGGATACATCACTTGACAGTACCGCGGCCATGGGATTCATGGCCCGAAGCTGTCCTGTCCATTTTCAGCCTTTGCCCCTAGAGGACCTTCTAATGCAGGTTTACTTTAAGGCG